ATTTATTGTTATTATTTGTCAATTGTTTTTCATTCTCTCTGAATTTGTTATTCGATTGACTGAGAAAAATACCCAATTTGACGAGCTGCACGTGGATTAAGCCAATACCCGAACCATCGCAACTTGCGCCCTCTGGCGCACTGCAAGCGCACATACAGCTTTATGGCATGCACGGCAGAGGGCGCCCATTAGGTGTGCCTTATGCACGCACACATGCATATCTGTAACCCATGCATGTGTTGGTGACAGCGTGCGAGTGAAACGGCTACAGAGAGCGAGAGGGAGAGAGAGATAGAGAGATGGTTGCTCTGCGCACAAATCAAACATGGCTGCCGCACACACATGCACAGACACACACATGCATAAATACCATTGTGTGTGTGTGTGTGTGCGTTGGGCATATTTATCTGGCGCTGTTCAGTCGCCTAGCTCGTTTCATCCCCCCTTGCAGAGGAATCGCATATATATGAGACACATGCGCAAACAAAGTCGGCGTCAAAGTCGACGTCGAAGTCGTTTTGGGTGCAGCTGCTTATCCGTTTTGTCCTCAACTGTATATATATATGTACTTATATATAAATATATTGTTTTTTTTTTTTTTTTTTTTGTGTTTTGTGTTTTTGCAATGGGGTTTACTCGACTGCAGTTAAGTCTCTCGGCTGCAAGCGTGGAATGCAAATTTTTAGAAAAGTTTGGAGCACTGCTTGCAGTACGTCGATAAGCTTGGATATCTCAAATGGGGGATTAGCTCATCTTTTATATATAACACATTTTGCTAGATCCAAAGACGAGTGTTCATTAAATTCTTGTCTCTCCGTGGCATGGCCAAAAACAACTTAATCCCAAATGCGTGGCACGTCCGCATAAATGCTGTTGAAAATTGTCAAATAAATCACTCATATTTATATAAATGCCCCTGATATCCGAGCCATTGCCGCAGGTTGACTCCAGACGTCACTAGCCGTAGCCAATATGCAAATTAATATACCACCATACCAACATACCGGCTCGCCACATAGTTTCTGTCTACGTCAGCCAGATAAGCGCGGTCGCTCCAAACGTGTTTCCGCATAAATTATTACTAGCCAGCCCAGCCGACAGCCAGCTGGAGATGACAGAAGACAAACGACAACAGACAACAGACGGCAGACGGCAGACGACAGAGAGTCCAACATGGCAGGCAGTATGGCAACTAAGTGGCATGGCTGCTGCTGCTGTGTGCTTCATATGTGTTTCACTTGGCAAAGCGGTAAACATTTTAGATCGCTGCTGCTGCTTAAAACGAACACAAACGTTTAATAACAAATCGCATCGCTCTGATTGAGGTCAGTTGAAAATTATTTTGAATTTGTTTGTCTTAGAAAATCATAATTTCAATAAAAAATGTTTAACTTCTGTTATTCTAAAAGCACAAGCATGGATATCGGCTAAATAGTAATTTCTCTTACACATTTTACTGGTATAAAGAAATGCATTCAACAAACAAAAAGAAATCTGCTGCCAAAAAGTCGATTTTATTTTGGATAGCATAAACAGTAAGTTGATCATTTTTGTGTATGATGCTGGTAATAATATAATAGCCTTTTAGAGGGTATTAACTCGGAATATGTAATGAACAGACCGAAGATAAGTACACGAATTTTGTCGACTGCATTAATCGACAAGCCAAAATGGTGTTGGCTCGAGTACATCTGCTTGGAATAGCGATAAATTGTATAGGGTTTGCGGGCGATGGAGTTGGAGAAGCTCACTAGCAATCTACCTTTAACTCGGACGAAAAGGAACACTTAGCTCCGCAATGATTCTCACATTCGTGTAGTAATTAGAGTGGCTGGAACAGCTATAGGTTGGCAGTGAATGAATCCCATTAAAAAATAATAATAATAATTGTAATAAAAATAGTTTTAATGTGTCCATCGATTTTTACTACGCGCCGTGGACCAAAATCTCATCACTTTGATGCTGGCAGTAACGAACATGTTAAAAGAATCAATCTTCTCTCATTTTGGAGAACTCAAAACACTGCATGAAAGTTTTATTTTGTTCAATCATCTTAAAGTTCATTATTGGAGCTGCACATTAACCCTGCGAAATTGAATTAAGAGCACCCGTTTTTTTTCCTTATAAAATCAAATATATTAATTTTAAGCTTTTGGTTTTGTTGCACGTTAGTTAATTATTTTAAATGCTCTTTGATTAAAAGGGAATGAATATGTAACTATTTTTTAATATAAAATTATCATAACATATATATATATTATAACGTCCATCCGTTGCATCCCGACGGTCAAAAAATGGCTGCACAATTATTAAAAGTAATTTGTTTTCTCTAACTTGATTAGATTTAAAATAACTAACTCATAATTCAATTATTAAAAGTAATTTGTTTTCTTTAATTTGATTATATTTAAAATAACTAATTCATAATTCTTCTATATATCACATCATTGGTGACAAAATGGAATTCTTGGAATAAAATTACCCCCATTGGTTGAAAATAATCAATAAACTTTTATGGATATAGAAAATTTGCACGATGTGCAGAAGATCCTTCTATCAAAAAACAATGTTCGCCTAAAATGATGTATGCATGTATGTCACAGATATTCTTTGAGTAACGGAATTATTACTAGATTAAACAATTGGAAGGATTTAAAAATAAGCGTGCTGAAATATGAATACCCGACGCATGCTTGATGCTTTCCCTAAATTATAAGAAATGGTGAATTGGATATGTATGAAGAACATATCACATATATAAAAATAATACACATTTAAATATTTTTGCAAAACTTGTAATACGAATTTTTTAGAGGTGTGAGCCTTTACATTATTTAACATTAATTACATTTAAGCAAAAAACCATATGCCAAAGTTATTGATTTTAAGCTTATAATTTAATATTTATTTTTTTTAAACTCTTTTCTGACTATTACAATCATTTATAAGCCTTAAATAATAATTTAAAAAAGTAATTATCAATATTATGCAAGAATTAAAATTTGCATAATGTGATTCAGGGAAGACACAGCACAGAGTATCTCCGAGTCGACTATATCTACACAGCATGTCAACCGATCAGTAATAAAAGAAAAGAATTTGCATTTTCAAACAGTGGCCATAGCATTTAAATTTAAATTCGCTGTTGTCTTGCCACTCATTGCCATTGTTGTTCACGAGCACTTGCTGCTCATAATGTGACACACTAAGGCCAATAAAATGCTACTAAAAAACAACAAGAAACAGCTAAAAAAAAAGGACAGAAGACTACTCGAGGCAAAGCAGTTTCATTCATAAAAATGCAGCCGCAAGACGTTGCACAGTCTCTTCTACTATTAGGTAAAGACATGTTGCTGAGAGGCTCAACGACCAGTGGATGTGGATGAGGATGAGGATGAGGAGTGGAGCCTTGTGTACTTCAGTCAAGTCGCGCGCTTGTCTTTTACGACCGGGAGAGAGAGTCATATGACACGGCCAAGACCAGTTGAGTTGAGTCTATGGCCGCTTCCAGCTTCAGCTTCAGCTTCAGCTTCGAGCATCAGCTTCCGTCAACATCTTGGGCGGCACTTAACGTCGCTTCTTGGTCGTCTGTCGCTTAATGGTTGCCATAATAATGCTTTATTTTACTATCGAATGTGTTCTCTCTCTCTCTTTCTCTCTCTCTCGTTCTCTCTCTCTCTCTCTGTTGCTGTCTCTTTCACTCTCTGGTTTATCTATGTACAATGCGTATACATTTGCGGTGTCTGGCGAGCGTCTGCCGTTGACCGTAAAATTTTAATATCCCCCCGTCATTTGGTGCGTGCTTTTGCTTTTGCTTTTGGCCCCACTCCCCACCCCCCGCGGACAGAAACCAAACCGAAATCAAGTGCCAGCCAATCTGCAACACCTTTATGGCCATTTTATGTGGCATACTTTTAACCTTGACATTGTCAATTTGAGAGTGGCGCCGTCAGCCTTAATGACCATGTCCACAACCACAACCACAACCACAGCGACACAAGTACAGCTGTACTGTAACCTGCCCCAACGTGCCCCACATCGAAAGTGTCATAAAACACACAAGTGGCTGAGAGAATGCTCTGCTCGTCTTCGCTACCCGCTAGGGGGAAGGGGAGGGGGAAGGGTGGGGGCCAAGCGAGCATAATCCATCATAAACATTTTTATGGCTGCTCGCATTTGGCCCACTGCTCCCCCTGCCCCTCCTGCATGCGGCGGCTGACTTTGTTATTCTTGTTACTGGCGGCAGTAAAATTCGTTAAACGCTCAACAAATTGTTTATTATAGCAATTTGGCAATAAATGCGGCCATTAGCTCATTGTAGGTGTTGCCACCGCACACTTATCCATCACTTATCGCGCCCCTCTTCCTCTTCCACTTCCTACCCTGCCCTGCCCTTCCCCTCGAGACTGCGCACACATTTTGCATATATGTACATGCGGAATAGGGAATAGAGCTCGTTGATGTTGTTTACGGTTCGATTTGAAACGTGTCAGCATTTTTAGTGATTGGCTAATCACATTGGGCCCCCACATTGAGACGAGTACATGCAGGTAGCCGCTATACGACTTATTGGAGATTGGTTTAGTTCGATCAGATAAATATATTCATATTTGTGCAAAAATCAAAGTATCAATTTGTATGCATCACTAGTTTATTGGTATTCCCAAAAGGGGTATATTGAAGTTGAGCAAGTGTGTGTAACAGGCAGAAAGGTGAGCCCTCGTTTGCATAGAGTATACTCGTATATATTCCTGATCAACATCAGCAGCTGAGTCGATCTAGCCATCTCCGTATCATAATAATGAATATACACAGACTAATTATTGTTTTAAGCTATTCTACTAAATATGTCGTATTTAAAGATTCAATTAGTAAAATCACGTGTTTTTCCTTATTCTCCTCAAATATGCTTCTTATAACGCTTACTTCTGCTATGTAAGATGTGTTCTACTTGTAATAGGTGGTAATTAGTGCTTAGGGTATCTAATAGTCAAGCTTACAAGTTATTTGTCACATTCCAGTCGACACTGATCGGTTAAGACATATCCCAGGTGTATACTGTAATAAAATAATAAATATATATATTTTATTAATTTATTTAATTAGTCAAAGTCACATTTCTGATTTCATAGCCGTTTTTAATTGCTGTAGAAAAATTACACAACTCAAACTTTTGAAATATTAATATATAAGTTTGTAGGTGTTGAGGAAGTCCACTTGCTGCCTGCTGTTTGAAATTAATATGCTGACTGAACACATGCTGTAGGGTATCATAATTGCTGATACCCATTCACATATCTGTACATATGTTTGTGTGTATATGTTTGTGATTCGCTCAGTCGCTGTTGATGAGTCCCAGCGGAGACCATTTCGGGCGAAATCTGCTCCCGTCATCGGAACTTATAAGAGAAGCTGACAAAAATTAAACGATTTTCGCATACGTTGCTCAGATGAAGGCACACAGGGTTTGCAACGAATAAATAGTCTCTGTCATAAGTATGCCAGGGGTTTGATACGGAGCCCATCATAACGAAGTTTGAATGTGGCCATTTGTGTATGGATTCCATAAGCGAAGTCACATACGCCACACACAAGCTGACCTGTGTGTCGCCAAATGAGATACCCAGGCAGTCACTCACACACGTACACATACACACACTCACACACACACACACACACAAGCACTCAAACACACACACTCTCACACACGGTGCCAGCCTCAAAGGGAGCGTAATGCGATGCGATGCGATTTATAAATATCTTTTGTGTTGTGCGCAGGGCGATGTGTCACTGCGAATGAGCAGCCTTGTCCAACTGTCTCAGTCTGTCTGTCTGTACACTGGTTCCCTGGCTGTCCTAATGTCTTTGACCTACTTCCACTGGCCGACGCCTCAATATGCGTGTAGCCATGTGGATAAATAGATGTACGAAATGTATCTGCGTGCCGAGTTGTTTATGAAGCAGAATAAAAATATAATTGCGTCGTCGAAATTTTCGAATATATTTTGTAATTAATTCTATTGGCTCTGATTGGACTTAATTAAAACGAGCCCGACATCATAATACATATATGTGTATCTATATATATATACCTACCTATTTATATATATGCTTAAATAGGAAACAGGCAGTGTCGAATACAAGTGTTTGCTAACCAGTTACACAAAAGTTATTTTTCATTCGAAAAATTATTATGAAGTCTTTTTATAATCAGCAATTTAAATTGACGATCGAGTGTTTTTTTAACAAAATATATAGAAATAATATTTGGTTTTTGTTTGTTTTTATTTTGACTTTAACCGAAACAGATTTTATTTATTAATTCAAAGTAAAAATATTATTATTTGTATATCCCACTAGCGAGAAAATCTTCAGCTCTGCAGAACTGACGACTCGGAGTCTTAAGAAATTAAAATAATGCTCTTAATTATATATGTATGTATATAAAGATGTTAGCTCTGACTTAATTCGTGTGTATATGCATATGAATAGATATGCATATGCACAGTGTGCCTAAATTACCCACTGCTATACTATTTCACTCTTCCAAAATCAAATGGCATGTTCGGTCCAATTTGACGTTGCCACTGCGCCACAATCTGTTATTTTATCACACGTCTTTCTAATGACACTTGTTTGGTTTTCATACTCTTGCCGACGGTATTATAGTTTTGTTGTGCAGTTTGAAGTCGGAGGTGGCGACTCCGAACCCTTGAAGAATGCATACACTAAGAAAATAAATCGCGCTCAATTTTCCAAATTCGCTCTACTTTTCCAAGAAAAGGGCTTATGGAATAGTTTTCTAAAATTCAGAAAAATTATTTCCAATTTCTTGCGACTTTCACATGACTATAAAGAAGTCTAAAATAAGCTTTTTTCTTGCTGATATTATTTAACTCATAGTTAACAAATTCATTACTTTTTCTATGAGAACTCGTCTCTCAGTTTTAAACCTATTCCTAGGAGACTTATCAGAGAGTACATATAGCCGGATACGATCACTATAGCATACAGGCCCAATGGGAGTGGCAGATTGAAAGATGAGGTCTCTTATAAAACCCCTAAGTTTACCAAAGCATCATAAAGTTCCCATTGGAAAGATGGGTTCTTTTTTGTGATTTATTTATAAAATCTAGTTATAATGTGGACTCCAATCGGAAAGGGTATGTAATATTCGGGCTGCCTAAGATAACAGAGCTTATTTATGTATTTTTTCCTTCTGATTACCCCGCCCTCTGTTTTGCTCCACTGTACGAGTATGTGCGTGTCTTCGGCAAAGTCAAGCACAAAACTCATTTAAATTCAATTCGAATGTTGCGTTTTGTGCTATATTTTTCGTTATTTTTTTCGGGGCTGGTACATATTTTTTTGGGCCTTTGATGTGTGTGTGTGTGTGTGTGTGTGTGTGTGTGTGTGTCTGTGTGTGTATATGTCACAAGGCTGCGGGGAATGGGGCGGCAAAGTCACTGAACGTTTAAATCGATTTGGGTCCGAATTCGAATTTCACCTTTGCAGTGTTCATGATTGTTTTGTTTTGTTTTGTCTTGTTTTTTTCTTTCCTGCCTGCTGTTGTTATTGTTATTGTTGTTATTGTTGTTATTGTTGTTGTTGCTGTGTGCTTTGTTAACTTCCATTCTTATCCAAAATGGCTGCATTATTTGTACACACACTTTTTGTATTTCTCTTACATGTACATGTATATTTTTCTTCTTCTCTTCTCTTCGCCATGTCATTTTGTTGTTTGTTGTTCTCGTTCTGGAATTTGAACTGAGCCCCAGCGACTCAAAACGTGATTCATACGAGTGTTTGTGGCCATTGTTGTTCTTGTTGTTCTTGTTGTTCTTGTTGTTATTGTCTTTTATATTGATAGGGTGTATTTTATTTTTATCGTGTTGTGAGTATGTGTGTGTGTGTGTGTGTGTGTGTGTGTGCATGGAGCATTCTTAAACAGTAGTCGACATTATGTAAAAGCTGTCGTCTTCAATTGCACTCCCGGTTATGGTTTCTGTCTGATTGTTGGCAATTTTCATAAACGCACTAAATAAAATTTATGTGTTTTTGGCTTATTATGCACCATAGCTCAATGTTAAATAAACACCACATTGAATTCAATGACGAACAGCTTTAAATATTTACAACGAATACAATAATATACCTGCAATTGAGAATAGTCGAATATATGCACAATTATACAATTGATATTCATCTGTGCTTAAAGTTGCTTGTTGCTTTATTTTTTGCATCATTTCAAGAAGACTTTAACCAGAAAAGATAATGTATTCCATGTAATTTAACGCTTAGCTGATGGCATTATTATCATTACGAAATGCAAATGCATCCAGAAATGGAATTAGCACGCACCCTCTGAATATTTTGTCTGCTCAATTGCAAAGTGTGCATGCCGCATACAAATATTTACATTTCCGTAGCAAGAAAAAATTATAATATATTTATTTCGTTCCGGTTAAAATTTCAAATCCGCACCAAGACATTTTAAGCCCCAAAAATTTGGTTGGCTTTCGCTCGGAAATTAAGATGCTTATGAATGGCAGTCGGAGATTGTTGTCTGCACAGTTTTAAACAGATGGCTGTATTAAGGGATTATTAAATAAGTAAGAATGCTCGAGCCAATAGAGCTCGATTACGAGATACACGGAAGCCTACTCTATATCTTTGATAACTCATATATGCTCTCGATACTCAAATTCATTAATATAAGTGTGGCGCGTATGTTTTGTATCTATTTAATACAAAAAAAAAAAGAATGACTTAATTGAAATTAAAAATGAAAATTAATAATTATGCAGATTCAAATTAAACTTATTTTTTCGTTTTAAATATATTTTTTTTTTGTAAATGTGCATTTGTATGTAAAAAATGATTCCGCTTGCTGCTGTGAAATTTGCTAATAATTAAGATACGTTATTCTTTCGCGTTGGGAAATCTTAAAGTTTGTACTGGCTACAAATATTATGTCAATATATATTAACATCTAATTAAATTTTTAGACACTATTGCATTCAGGAATTGATTTTATAACAGAAAATGATCTCTATGTGGTATACGATGACTTCCATATTAATTGGGAACCCTTGGCTTTTACATTCTCTGATCATCTTGTTTATACTGGACTGCTGATACTGATGAAAATTCCAGATGCGTTTGCCTGTTGAATACTTTTGAACGACTTCATTATACCCAATTTACACATTTCAATGGGTTAAGGTTGTAAACAATTTGAAATATTCATTGAATAAATGGCATAAAAGCTTGTTCGGTTGCCCCTTTTAAGTATCACACAACTTAACCGAGACTATCTCATATTTTTAAGAAAATGGAAAAAGTCACGCAAGTTCTTATCTTTAGATTATAAATATAATTTATATTTTCTTCAACACACACGGATCGTTCGGGCTGAGTGCCCTACCTATCATCTGTCTGTTACTGAAAGTTGCCAGATTTGATACCTAATGCATTTTTATTACTGTAGGATTTCAAAAGGTTAACAGAATAAAAAAGTTTTCAATATTATATTCAATAAATTATTTGTCATAAGAAGTAACAACATTGCAGTCAAAATCTTTTGGATATTAAATAATCTTTGAGCAGTAGAAGAATGAATAAAATTGGTTCATATTCATAAACAAATTTAAGATATTTTTTTTTCAAACTAGATTTCTGTTGTTGAAAAGCAGCAAAGTGTTGCCTGGAATTTGTACTTGGCTAAAATTAAAGATATACCAAGTTAAGTTGGAAGAGAGTCCATAGATTAGATGAATACCCAAAGCAAGCTGTCCCTTTAACCATTTTTAGTACTTTGGCCCCATCTCTACTTAGCCGGGCCACATACGTTCAAACAATGTTAATAATGTTTAAAAGTAATGTACTTCATTTCACCTTCCGACCAGACCGAGAAAGATAAAAACTACAATGAAAATGCGAACGAGAAATGTGGAAGAGTCAAAAAAAAAAAACAAAAACAAAAATAAATAAAAATGTGGCAATAACTTTGCAACCAAGCAGACACTCGAGATGAGACAAATTCAAGCAACAGCCAC